TACCTCTAAATAAATAATTAAAACGAGCTGGGAGTCAGAAAGATATTTCACCAGGCAGTGAGGTTCGTGTTGGCTCCGTATCGCGGAGCTGCTGCCAGGTTTGCACGATGTTACTAAATCAGTCATAACTTTTTAATCAAAACTCAGAATTTAGCACAAACTTAGTGGCGTTGGAAAGAGGACTCGAAGGTCTTTAATTTTCTGTCTTGTAGCTCACCTAACTCATCTTGTACTAGAAGTTATGGTCGTTTGATGTTGACCCAAAACTTAAGAATGACTTGAATATTTTTCTCTTCGGTTCTTCTTGAAACTCAAGGTGATACATATAGTGACCTTAACACTTAAGAAATTTTTAATTCCTTGGTAAAATATCACTCACTACGAAGAACGGTTCAAGTCTTAGTCAAAAAATTTATGGGGTGTTACACGCCCGTTTCCGCATTTATATACCATTTTTTAGGAATTATCCAAATTTCTCAATTTCTCGTGTGTTTTAGCCCATGGATCTGGTGCCTCGGAGCACCCAAATTTTTATTTCTCAAAACACTTTATGAGGACCTCCGTAATGAATATGGGAATCACTACGTATACTTATACCATTTTTTAATGCTTGTTTTCGCATTTACAGACCTTTTTTTATGAATTACCTAAATTCCTCAATTTTTTCGTGTGTATTAGCCTATAGATATGGAGCCCCGGAGCACCCAAATTTTATTCTCAAAAAACTTTATGAGGACCTCTGTAATGAGTAGGGGAACCACCATGTATACTCACGCCATTTTTAACGCGCGTTTCCGCATTTACACACCCTTTTTTAGGAATTATCCAAATTCCTCAATTTTTCGTGTGTATTAGCCCATGGATCTAGCTCCCCGGAGCACCCTAAATTTCTCTGAAAAAACTTTATGAGGACCTTCGTGATGAGTTGGGGAACCACCACGTATACTCACACCATTTTTTTAATGTTCGTTTACGCATTTACAAATCCTTTTTTAGGCATTACCTAAATTCCTCAATTTTTCATGTGTATTAGCTCATGGATTTGGCGCCCCGGAGCACCCAAATTTATTTTCTCAAGAAACTTTATGAGGACCTCCGTAATGAGTTGGGGAACCACCAGATATACTCACACTAATTTTTAACACCCGTTTTCGCATTTAAAGACTCTCTTTTTGGAATTATCCAAATTTCTCAATTTTTCATGTATATTAGCCCATGGATCTGGCACCCCGGAGCACCCAAATTTTCTTTTCTCAAAAACCTTTATGAGGACCTCCGTAATGAGTTGGGGAACCATCACGTATACTCACACTATTTTTCTAACGTCCGTTTCCGCATTTACAGACCCTTTCTTAGGAATTACCCAAATTTATCAATTTTTTTTGTGTATTAGCCCATGGATCTGGCGCCCCGGAGCACCCAAAAAAAATTTCTCAAAATACTTTGTGAGGACCTCTGTAATGAGTTGGGGAACCACCACGTATACTTACACTATTTTTATAATGCTCGATTCTGCATTGACACATTTTTTTAGGAATTACCCAAATTCCTCAATTTTTCGTATGTATTAGCTTATTGATCTGGCGCATCGGAGCACCCAAATTTTTTTTCCTCAAAAACTTTATGAGGACCTCCATAATGAGTTGGGGAACCACCATACTCACATCATTTTTTAATGCTCATTTTCGCATTTACTGACCCCATTTTAGAAATTGTCCAAATTTCTCAATTTTTCGTGTGTATTGGCCCATGGATCTAGCATCCCGATTCACCCAAAATTCTTTTCTCAAAAAACTTTACGAGGACCTCCGTAATGAGTTGGGGAACCACCAGTTATACTCACACCATTTTTTTAACGCTTGTTTTCGCATTACAAACCCTCTTTTAGGAATTACCCAAATTCCCCAATTTTTTGTGTGTATTAGCCCATGGATCTGGCACCCCGGAACACCTAAAAAAATTCTCAAAAAACTTTATGAGGACCTCTGTAATGAGTTGGGAACCTCCACGTCACACCATTTTTTAACGCTCGTTTTCGCATTTACAGACCCTTTTTTTTTAAATTATCATGTGTTTTGATATTGTTTGTATGCATTTATTATGGGCGTCGTGATGAAACATATGATGATTTATTATGTCAAGGTCTTTGTAGGAAAGGGTTATGATGTTGAGATTTTTGCCGGCAAGTGTTTATTATGTCCAGGTCTTTGCCAGTGAGTGATATGATGCCGAGGTCTTTGCCGGTGAGTGTTATTATGTTGTTGTTTTTGCCAGCGAGTGTTATTATATCGAGGTCTTCACCGGCGAATATTTTTATGTCGAGGTCTTTGTCGGCGAGTATTGTTATGCCGAGGTCTTTGTTGGCGATTGTTATAAAGCCGATGGAAAATGGTTTCAACTAGTGATCTGATATAGCCAATGGGAAATGATTTTGGCTAATGATATTATGCCGATAAAAAATGATCCCGACAAGAAATTAATCATTGAGACTTGATGCATTTGATGCTTATGCGTGATTTACATGTGGATTGTGATTGATGTACTTGTTATGTGTGACTGAACTACTTGTTGTTGAAATTGACTTATTCGAGTTGTTGATCGTTGATTATGAAGATTGAAGTGTGAATATTGGGCCTGTGAGCCGTGTTTTGTAGAATTTCAAAGTTGAGCTGATTTTTGTGCATGTTGTAGTTGAGGAGTTTCAGTTGGAGTGTGAGGGGTATTTGTTTTCTAGCTAGTTGTTTTGTTTAGTAGGTTGCTTGCTAGATACCGTGTTGTTGGTATTCACCCCTTATTTCTACACTTGTGTAGGTTCCGACCCCAAAGCCGTGTGATCTTCTTCTTCTCCTAACAATCTAGGCTCGTGAAGGATTTAAGAGGTAGCTGCTTGTCATCTGGGCGAACCCTCTTTTCCTTTTTCTTTTAAACTTTGTTCTACTTGAGAAAGAAAGACTGACACTTGTATTTATCTTTGAATTTTATATTTTTATTAGTGACTTGTACACGTGACAATCAGGTTTTGGGTAATGTGTAGAATGAATAAGTTTTCCGCCTTTGTCTTGTTCTTGCTTTACTGTTTTCGTCATTTTCTTTCTTTTCGTTGGGTTGAGGCTGACTTGTCTTGGTGGGATTAGAAAAGTGTCATCACGTTCGTTTTTGGGTCGTGATACATCATCACTTGACACATTCACTTTTAAGAATGGTCGACTTTTCATGATACTTATCATAAGTCACATTCTCTTTGAGGAACTGACTATAATCATATATACATGCTTCATAATTATTATTAGTTTTTTCATTAGAAGTTAATTGTCATGCTTTAAAATTTATCATATTCATATGACATACCTCGACATCACTTTTGAAAGATCAAGTGCATCTTCACTTTACATTTCTTTATTTTTATAAAGGATTTATAAAATCAAATTAGTTTACACGGTAATTTTGTGCCCAATACCTTTCATATGAAATTTGATGACAAAAATTGCCTTCACTCTTTAATAGGTCATTTTGAGAACTCATAATATTCTTTCTTTTATAATTATCACAATGGTGACTATTATAATTTTGTCCCTTCACGTCCATATTTTTATGTTTAATCATAAATTATCTTGTCATCTTTCGAAATTTTAAAGTATTTCTATCATATTCACTTCAAAGAATGGAGCATATTCAATGAGATGGACTTCACAATTTTTATCAAGAGCAAATCAATTTTCTCAATTTTCATTATATCATCAACATATTGCATTGGGTCTTTAACACAATGCCTTGTCCATTTAAAGATGTGGTAGACCAAAATATGATGCGACTTCAACCCAAAATCTTATCATCATGGTGCATCAGGACTCAAACTCAATGTCTTGTTTTATTAGTGCGATAAAACTTGAATATATCGTCTCGCCCTTAACTAATGACATAATAGGTCATGAAAGTGTCATAAAACTCACTCTTGAACCTTTAAACATACTCCCACTTTATAATTTTATATATAAGTAAGTTAAGTTTCAAAAATATATATATAATTGCATAACTTATCATTCACACACTTTTGAGTTTAACAATTTTAGTGGGTGGGATCACTTAAATATGATAGTGTGAAAGCAAATTAAAATAAAATGCACCGGGTGTTTAATTAGTTAACTCATTTTCTTGGATACATATCCATTTAAAGAAAGTACTATTGAAACTCCTAATATATTATTAATATTTGTTAAAGAGTGAAACTATAAATCGCTAATTAAAATTAACATATTAATAAAAGTTTTATACAACAAATTTTCTTGTAACTATGACGTCAGTGAGAAGAATTCTAGTATATTCAGGGAAGTGCTCAACAAATTTATGTCTTTTACTCCAAGAAAACAATAAACATGTAAAAGAGATCATAATTGCAAACTACTAAAGTGATTGTAAAATAGAATTGGAATGAGTTACCCAATTTATACTTTTGTGAACGATCTAACAATTTATCCACAAGTTCGTCATGGTCAACACCAAATCTCACGGATAGAAGAAGCTGAGTTAATCCCTAAAATGGTTAAAACATTATGTTGATAACGTGTTATAAAATAAAAATCATATAATAAAATAAAATCATTGTGCTAATATTGTGTAATGTCAGACTTCAGCTTTATGTTTTTTTTCTTTTAAGTTAATCATACTGAGAGTGGAACTTTGTATCGGGCCCAAATACTGGATCATGTCCAATGTGAAATATTGGACTAGAAATTCCTTTGGATATACAAATATTTCCAAATATATTACTTTCTTCGTTTCAATTTATATGACATAATTAAGATTTTAATTAAGAGTCAAATTTCTTTATTTTGACTATTCATATGGATATACAATCTTTAAAGTTTCTGATAAATAAAAGTACTATAAGCCATATGAATTAATAATTTAAAATGTTTGAAAGATATATACAAACATATAACAGTAGAGAATTTCTTATTTAATTTTTGAAATTCAAACTATATCATTTAAACTGTGACAGGGAGTATACAATATTGTCCTATTAAATTACTGTAATTCCATCCTTGATTTCCACTATTGATTTATTTCCCTCTCTGCTTCTCTATTCTTTCCCCATAGGACCAAGTAAAGCCCACCAACTAGCAATATTCCTCCACATACACTGCCAAAAACAAAAAAAAAACAAATTTTTTTTTGAGTATTTGAAGTTTAATTATAAAAGAATTGAACCATTTAAGTTGAATATTAGCAAAAACGTTACGTATATCTAGTATAGATTATATTCATTCTAATAGCAAAAACGTCATGTATATGGACTAATTTGATGATTCACTATGTGATGATTTTATTGAACAAGATAGAAATCGCGGTATTACCTTCCCACATAAAGTGTTTCCTTCCACAAAAATGCTGACACTATGGCAGTTATGATGAGTGATAATGGAGTGAACATAGATATAAATACTGGCCCTTTTTTCTCTACAGTCCAAAGTTGTATCCAATATGTCAAGCCTGTAACAATAAAACCCTGCAATGTTTTTGGTGAATAATTATTTTACATAGTAAAAACCAGTAATTTATGCCATAAACAACAAAAAGGGTGAATTTCATTGATGTTCATCTAATTTTCAATTTATTACACCAAGTTACAAAATTTGTTACGAGAAAAATAATACAAGTAGGTCGCCACATCATCAACTCACTTTACATGATATCCACGTAGAATTACTTAAGAAAAACAAAAGTTAATTTTCAACCCAATTAGAGAAAAAAAATGAGATCCACGTGGCGAAAAACATCGTGCTTTGTGTTGAGTCGGAAAATAAGAACCTTTAACTTTTATTTTAAGTGGTACTTGTTGAGAATATAATTAAATAATAAAAGTGTGTTTTTTCTAACAACTTAAGTTTTACATGAGATAGTCACACACTTCAACATAATATCAGAACAAACAGAGTTCCTGAGATCAAATCTCATTGCCATCCAAAATTTTAAAAAAAATTCCACATGCTTGGCGTATGAATTAAAAAATTAGGCTCGCACTTGGTAATTTTATCAACTATAAGTGTCAAAAAGACATAACGGGGCTCCATGAGGTGTTGAAGATTATGTTGAGAAAACATACACAGTAAGCTACTGAAAAAAGATTAATGTCCCATTTTAGCTTCCATGCTGATATATTCCTTTCCATCACCATGGCACAAATTGAAGATTGTATCCAGCTAAACAAGCAATATAGAGTAGCAAGACGAAGCTTTGCTGGATATAGTTTCACAATAGGAACCTAAAAAAAGAAACAATCAGAGTTTGTTTAAATCTCATGATCTTAAACTTGTTAGATACTCTTTACTAAATATAGAAAGAGACAATCTTTATGAAAAGTAAGACACTTAAATTGACTCAGATGTAATTAAATATACCTGTAAAATGAGCCATAGAGACCATGTAATGTTAGCCAAAACCATGACTAGTGAACCTTTTAACCACTCTTCCTTCAAACTATAATTCAAATTTGAGCTATGAGTTCCCCTTGTGTTCCCTTTGAACCAATTCATGAAGTTCAATTGTGGACCTTTAACTAAGGCAAATACCAAAGCTCCTGTAACACCAATTGAAGAACCCAACAATTTTGCCATTCCATGTGACTTCTTTATTGCAAGAGCCTCCACTCTGTATATTTGATTATTTTTTTAAAAAAACAGAACATTAAGTACATATGGTTCCTTAATACTCCCTCTCTGTTCATGTTTACTTGTCACATTTCGTTTCTAGAGAGTCAAACTACATAGACTATGACCAATTTTTTAAGATGTGATTTTTCATATAGTATAGTTTTCGAATATCTAAATTTAAAATAGTGAATAAGTTAGCTTCGAAAATTAATTAAATTGACTCTCATGAAATGAAATATAACAAGTAAAAGTGAACAGAGAGACTGTCAGCTTAGGTAGCTTTGAAGTGTACCTTAAAATTACTGCCATAAAAAAAGTGATGGCTGGAATTAAGTTAGTGGAGGCTGCAGCAAATGTTGCTGTGGTGTAATGTATGGAAAAATAATATAGATCCAAACTTAGAGTGCTGAAAAAAAAAAATGTAACAAAATTAATCAAGTGAGGCTAATGATTAACATACAATAAATTAAATAATTAATAGTGAACTTACTTAAGTAATGACATCAGGAAGATCTTCAATATGATGTTGTAGGATAAAGGAACATCAGATTTTCTGTTTTAGTTAAAACAAAAAAGTTGAAAATTGCATATATACAATATAGTTGTTAAGCTTGTACATACACTACTAAAAAATCGCGAATTGTTAATTAATAACCTTTCAAAGAAGGCAGCGAGGGGGGCTAACGCGATGATAGCAAATGCTTGACGATAAGTCACAAAAACATAAGGGTTCATCCCTTGAGATATTGCAGATTTAGAAAACAAAGCCATGCCTGCAAAAATAGCTTGTGTGAGGAGCATGGCAATGTAGTGTTTTTGCTTTTCCATTGACATGGCACAACTAATTACTAAGTGCTTCATTTTCTCCTCAATTTGGTTTTCTTGTCATGTTAGTGCATCAAAGGACTCTTCAATTTATAGACAAACCATAGACTTGGTACAATACTGATTTTTCTAGCATGTTTGATCAAACTTTCGAACTTTGTTTTTTCTGAATAATTAATGTTTTTTTTGTCAAAAGTTTTTTTTCGAAAAAATACTTTTGAAAAGTAACAAGTTGTGCACTTTTGCTAATATTAGAGTAGCAATTTTCACGTGCTCGAGTTTTAAAAAAAGTATTTATGAGGAGACTATTTTTTAAAGCTTTTGAATAACAATTTGTGTTATTACTCAAACCACACTTATTATTTGTTTTTTAAAAGCTTAGTCAAATACCTTTGCTTCACTTATTATTATTTCAGCGTGAAATATTTTCAACCACTTAAACACGTCTCACTCCTAAAATATCTTCTCTAAAATAAATATATTTTTTAGAATATATACTTTTAGCTTCCCAAAACCTAGATCACTTAAGTGGGGTCAAGGTTCATTTTACCCTTCTTTTTAACTAACAAGTCCTATTCAAAAAGCCAATGTCTCATAGTCAATTGTACATATTCTTTCTATTGTTAGACACCTAGTTAAGTTTGTATATATGCAGACAGAAAACCAGCTCTTGGGGTCATATTAATAATATGTACGTTTATTATAGAAAAAAAAAGTTAATATGATATGTTAGGTGTGTTTTATATTTTCGGAGTTAAAAGACGATAGTTATTGACTTTGTTGTTCTAAAAAATTTTAACTTCAATAAGATATTTATAAAAGTTGAATGACTTTCGTGTCCTGAAAAAATAAAAATAACATCGATGAGATATTCTCGTAAGTTGAGTAACCATTCAAGAAATTAAATGTGATGGAGATCTAGTAAGCCGACTAGATGTGCACTAGCAGAAACTTCTCCTTTGATAAAACAGAGCATTAGTGAGATATTTAGGCAAATTACAAGCTTGACTTAAAATTTGAGGGTGCTCCTTGGTATTATTATCTTAAAGATTATAATCTTCTCCACTTTGTTAATACTAATTAAGTGGAATAGAATTCAGAAATCATGTTTGGACATATAATTATTATAATTTTTTCGAAATTTGAAAAACATCAAATACTTGTTAAGGTTGGTTAATTATTATAATTTGTTAGGATCAGTCATAAAATTTCATGTGAACTTTAAAAAAAGATTAGACAAAATTTAGTGTTGATCCTGAGTTAAAAGGGCATAAGTGAGCCAAAAATGTACCAGAGGGGTATTTTTAGTAAAATAGACGGATGAAAGATATATTTATACATTTTGCGACGGTTTAGGGGCGTTCTTTATCCTTTTTCATTGTATGTAATATATTTTACTTTTTAGTCTGTCCCATAAGCAACAATACATTTTCATATTTTGTTTAAATAATTCGATTATAGAATTTTACATGTTAATTACTCTTAGCAATAACAAGAATTATAACATATCCAGTATGATTTCATAACTATAATATGAAAAAAATAGAATGTACACATATTTTACTCACACCTTTGTGCATTAGAGAGACTATTGTTTGATAGTCTCACGACTTAAAGAAAGTTTTCAAAATAAAGTTGCACAACTACCCAATTATAAACTTCTTTATTTTTATTATTTTTAATGAGATGATTTATAATCATATAAATAATTTTAAAAAATTCTAAAGTATAAATTTCAAGAAATAAAAACTTTTTTTTTAAAAAAAAAACTATCCAATCAAACAGGGGCGAAGCCAGCATATTGTTAGAGGGTTCATCCGAATCTCCTTCAGCGAAAATATTTACTATTTATACATGGTTAAAATTATTTTTTATGTATATACAGTAGATTTGAACCCCCTTCAATTAGTTCGTGTGTTTCCTTCTTCAAATTTTGAACTCTTTACTAAAAACTTTAACTCTGCCACTGTAATCAAATAATGTCGCATAAAACGGGAGTGAGAAAGTAGTAGTAGTTCCTTTTTCTTGCAACAACGTGCTCAAAAGTTTTACTAGTACAACCATCTTATATAATTGGGAACATGATTTCCAATATAATGTTACATCACTAGTGTTTGAATTTTTTAGGGTCTTTTTTTTTTGAACTATTTTGGTTGATGTATGTGTCTGGTTTTTGCACTCACTTTTCCGTGAATAAATGTGCAATGTTTGAAGTGCTCCATTTTCATGCGTTTAATCGACTTGAAAGCATAAGCTTAACCATCGTGCATAATACGAGAAAATGGGCATTTGGGGGTAATGGGACCCCGTATAGAATAAGTGTAGTTGAGAATTGGCTAATAGGTTGAGGGGGCTTTTGGCTATTTTCTCTGCATAATACTGTTATAAGTCAAATTGAGCTAAGGTCAAATTTGAAGTTTTGATATACTACAAGAATTATCAAGAAAAGAAGAAGAAGGAGAAACATTATGCAAGAATAAATTTTTAAGCATGTCTTAAATAAGCAGTAGTGTATCCAGGATTTTGAGATAATGGGTGTACTATTATAAAAAGGTAGATCTAGGATATAAATTTGATCGATTTGACATTTAGGTTCTTATCACTAAAAATTATTAAAATTATAAATCCAAAATTAATAATATATATATACTTAGCACATGACAAGTGTTGGATGATATGTGCTTAGATAATGTTGTACATTCTTCTTTTATGGTTGTACCTTTAAAATTTATTTAAAAGTAAGATGCACCCAATCATCATTACACTATATGATACTGGAGGATTTCAGTCATTTTGGAGCAAGAATAGAGGATTTTAGTCAATATATGTCCTATATAAAGAACTATAATATTAATGCTATTTCCTCTGTCCCTAATTACTTGTCCACTTTTCCTTTTCTATTTGTCCCTCATTACTTGTTCATTTTGACAAATCCAGAAATGACAAAAAAAAATTACCTATTATACCCTCAATTAATTACTTTGAAAAAGATAGAACTTCTTGAAAATTTTAAATTTTTAATTCATCCACTTCATAATTAATAAGGGTAAAATGGTAAACTCACTATGTCAATATTGTTTTCATAGGTGTGTCAAATAAAAAATGGATAAGTAATTAGGGACATGAGAGTATTAAAGAAGAGGCCATTCACACATATCAAGAAAAATCCTTTCGGCCGAAATTTGGCCAAAATGGTAAAATAACATATTTTACACTATGTTATTTTACTTTTTTGAACATTTTTACCCCCTTTAACTTTAATACCTTTTAATTAAAAAATAAAAAAAATATCAATTTCAAAATAAAGAGAATATTATAGACTTTTCAAATTTCTGGCCAAATTCTCTAGCCATGTAGCATTACCCATAGTTATAAATGTGGAATTATTTATGTGAAAGTCAACAAAGAGAACAGGTGTTTCTAAGAAGCTATTGTTTTAGTTCTCGAGTTGTTCAATTAAATTGCAACCTATTTACAATTATAGAAGATTTGTAACAAGTATTTATTTTTTGAATTGTAAAAGGCTTTCGAGAATGGGGTAGAATCTCGAAAGGAGCAGTTGGAAAATTAGTCCCTTTGATTATAGGGTTATAATCTAAAACTACTCTAATTTAGTAGATATTTGAGGCAAATTCTACGTAATATGTTGTGTGAATTTTTACTCCTTTAAACAAAGACTTCTCCATAATAAAATTATTTGTATGGATTACATTGTACACTTTACTTTTTATAACTTATCTCAATGAAACTAATCATGACTATAACATATTTCAAAAATCTATCATAAATTGACTCATTTTACACTGAGAGTCGATCTACTGTAACCCAACCGGCAATCAAAATTGATAAAAGAGATTTGGTCCCTAAAATCTTATCCACGTATAATATAAGTAGTACATCTATTAAGCACATGACATAAAAGCCAATGTGACAAGGACAACCATGAAATAAATTAAACCAAACTATATAATTATATTGAAAGGACAATTTTTAGGAAACATTGGCCAGCACTGCTATCTAATATATTCGATGATGAAACAACAGTGGAACATAGCTAGCATTATTTATTGACACTTTCAAAGCTGAAATCATTTCACTTTTCTGAATTAACAACATATGTTTATATAACTTTAGGATCATACGCAAATTTAAGATTTTTCGAACATGGGTGCGCAAAAAAAAATGTACTAAGTGGGAATTGATCCGAACATGGGTGCATCAAAAAAATATATTAAGTGGAAACTGATCCTTATTCCTCAAGGTCAAAAGCTCAACATTTAATCATGTGGACCAGTTAGAGTTCTTATAGTACGGATGTCAAAATATAATATTATACAATTTTAAAAAATATATACATAAAATATCTAGTTTTACGAAAAGACCATGAATTCCGATACCCTATTTTTTGCCTCTAAATTCGCCACTGTTTAGGATAAGAAAGAAACTTTTGAAACTGCATTTTAATTTCAAGTCACAGAACATTAAATTCATTTATAAATCTCATCCAACTTACACAAATGAAGGTCACATATATATGTTCGATCAATAATCAAAGGTGTTTAATAAATTAAAAATTCTAGATTCGTCATTATTTACTTCCACTAATTTATGACCATCACAAGTCACAACACAGCCTTCTTTGTCCACTCTTGAGGGATGGTGTAGAGTGGAAATGTGTAGCTATCACATCAGTTTAAAGCTAGTTTCAGGTATTTTCAAGGGCTGGCAGGCACCCATTTTGAGAATATTTTAGCATGTGTATGTTGTGCATAAAGGTTAGGGGTCGTTTAGTTCGAAGTTAAGTTATATTGAGATAAATTATTTTAATATTATTTTATATTAAATATTTGACTTATTATATTAAAAATAACATGCATCAATATATTACATAATTTCTAAGAAGAAGTTCGTTTACAAAAATACCATTCATTTTATTCAGCAAAAAAAAAGTTTGAAGGACCTTAAGGGTATTCTTGTCATTTTGATTATTTTCTGTAATAACTAATCTTGATAATATTATTTCACTCTTTGACAGAGATAAGATACTAATTACTAATCTTGGTGAATTAAATACCAAATAAAAAATATACTAATTTT